GTTTCCTTTTTTGAGCTACTACATACATAAGTATAGGGTTACTCTTCTTTTCCTCTTCTTTCTTCCTCTAGTCGAGTTCTGATCATCTAGCCATTGAAGCCAGGTCAAGTGGGTACTATCTGCAAGTATGGGTGTTGTGTGAATCTCCCCCTCACTTCATATCAGCTGGATGCTTCACTCTCTGCTTTAGTCCTCTGAGGCCATGTCCCTGTCCCTGGGCCCAGGAGTCCCCAGGTCTCGCCATACTGCTGACCAAAAAGGTCTCAATCCAGGTTGACAGGAGTCTTGAACGTGGTCCGCCTTAGCTCACAACTTCGTTGCTGTTTTTCCCCCACTTCCCCTTATAAGTAGATCAGTGTGGTCACCAGAAAGACCACATGTCTACTCATGTATTCTCCTTGAGTCTCAGTCTTGGAAGTGTGTTTGCCCTGAGGGGAACCAACTGCTTACCTTGATGGCTCCCGGGCAAACAGATTGCTTGTTCTTGTAGTAGTCAATCAGACTGCTGCTACTTTTATTGATTTTTCCTGCTGGTCTTTCTTTCAAGAAGTATTTTCTGTTCTTCTAGCTACTTCAGGCTGTTCTGTTTGTCCTTTCAATTGGAAATTTGCCACCTCAGAAGATTCTGGATGGGTATCAGGATTCCACCTATGGTCTTATGCAGTGCATAGGCTCCACCGGAAGCCTCCTTTACTGAGCAAGTTCTAGCCCCATTTTAGGTATTCCGATAAGGAGCTCTTGATTCATAGTGGATACGAATTGGGCTACTAACCTCAAGGTCGTCAGTTCGAAATTACCAGCTGTTCCACGGGAGAAAGATGAGGCTTTTCTTCTCCCGTAAAACTTTGCAGCCTTGGAAACTCTGTGCAGGGTCACTAAGAGTCGGAACCGACTCCACGGTACTTAACAACAACAACAGCAACAATCAGTTATTGGCAGAAGACAGACTTACAAACTTTCTATGGTGATATTTCTGGCTGTTCCTATCTCTCCCCCTCAAGTGTCTATTTTACGATAGTAGGCAAGGGAAACCAAGATCAAAAGATAGCCAAGCATCTTAACATTATTTCTACTCTTTTACTCATTCAAACCATGCCTCATACCGTGTCCCAGAGCCCTGTTGTTCCAAGGTTGAGCATACATGATTATTTACCTCTGTCCCACTTAGCCCTTGCAAACCTGCCTAAACTTTCTCCCATCCACCTTGTTCTTCCATTCCCCTCCCCCTTCGTGTGTATTGCCTCCCTCCACTCCCCAGCACTCAAACTATCCTGTGTCTGTTCCCTATCTTGTGCTCCACCTTCTTCTTCCTCCCCTCTCTCCACCTGATCCATACACCCCGGTAACCAGCAAAAAAATTTTTTTCCTTTGAGTGTGGGTACTTTTACTTAAGCTTTTACAATAATGGTTCTATGCAGTATTTCTCTTGTTGTGACTTATTTCACTTGGCCCTTTTTACTGTGCATAAAGTTGCTGAGTCAGTACTGACTCGATGGCACCTAACAACAAATCCTCAAGGTTCATCCATGTTAATGTGGTGGCTTGCAGCTTCCTTGTTATTCTTCAAGGTAGCATAATATTTCACTGTGCTTATGTACCACAGTTTATCCATTCTTCCATGGATGGACACTTAGGCTGTCTCTATCTTTTTGCTGTTGTAAATACTGCTGCTGTAAACGTTGCTGTGCATATATACACTCGTGTTATGGCCCATATTTCTTGTGGGGAAATGCCAAGTAGAGGAATTGCTGGATCATATGGTATTTCTATTTCCAACTTTTTGTGGAAACGCCATCTTGTTTTCCAGAGTGATCGGACCATTTTGCAATCCCACCAACAATGTAGGAGGGTCCCAGTCTCTCTGCATCCTTGCCAGCATTTATTGTCCTCTTCTTTTTTGAACTTCGCTGTTAATTGCTGGTGTGAGGTGATATCTGATTGTTGTTTTAATTTGCATCTCTGATGGCTAGTGATATGTTTGTTGGCTGCCCAGATCTCTTCTTTAGTGAAGTGTCTGTTATGTCCTGTGCCCATTTTTTTTAAGTTTTTATTGTGAATTATGTAGATTTACATGGGACAACATCAGTTTTACATTCATCCTATCATATTTATTTTCATTGCTATGATTACAATCCCCTCCATGCATCATCTGTACACCCCACAGGCTTGCCCCCTGGCGGTCAGCACACAGCCCCTCTCCCTCCCTGAGTCTAGTGTCCCCAGCTGCTCCATCTGCCTCCATTTCTGGTATCACTGCTTTTCTGGGCAGGGTCCCACACTCCGCTCTGCTCACTTGATGGCCCCAGGGACTTCCGTTCCTGGACTGCAAAATCAATAACTCCTCTCTTTTTGTTACGAAACTTCTACCTTACATTTGCAACTCTCACAGTCAGTCCTGATAGCAACTGTTCACTATTAAAGCACAAGAGTCTTATCCCCATCTCCTTTCATCAGCCCCGTCCAGACAGGTTGGAAACCACTCAGTGTAGATTCTGCCTTCCCCTACACCCTCTGGAACTAGGCTCCCTCTTGAAAGTTTGTAAGCGAGTCACTTAGTGCCTTTGTTAGACCCTCCGTTTTGTGGAGCCAATGTCTAAGTTGCCCATCCCTGTCAACCCTGTCTACCGAGGGGGTGGGAATGATCCTTACTGTAAAGATTTGTTTCCTTTTTTGAGCTACTACATACATAAGTATAGGGTTACTCTTCTTTTCCTCTTCTTTCTTCCTCTAGTCGAGTTCTGATCATCTAGCTATTGAAGCCAGGTCAAGTGAGTACTATCTGCAAGTGTAGGTGTTCTTGTGAATCTCCCCCTCACTTCAGATCAGCTGGATGCTTCACTCTCCACTGTAGTCCTCTGAGGCCATGTCACTGCCTCTGGGCCTAGGAGTCCCCGGGTATTGCCATACTGCTGGCCAACCAGGTCTCCGTCTAGGTTCACAGGAGCCTTTTAAATGTGATCGGACTTAGCTCCAAACTTCACTGCTGTTTTCCCCCACTTCCTCTTATCAGTGACTAACGTGGTCACCAGCAAGACCACATGCCCGGTCGTGTATTCCCCTTGAGACTTAGTCTTGGAAGGGGGTTTGCTCTGAGGGGACCCGACCACTTGCCTTAATGCCTCCCAGGTGAACAGCTTACTTGTTCTTGTAGTAGTCAATCAGACTGCCGTT